AAGACTGCAGTGGTTTCCTAAACTTCTCTTCCTAAATATTTTATTGTAGAACTAGATTTTTCTCTCTATGGAAAAATTATCTACAGAAAATTGACAGCAGAAATTTGATGTTCAAGGGACAGAAAAGCCAGACTTGAGAAGAACTTTGCATGGTATCACAAATTCTCAGACTGAGTAATAAAGTATACATTAAGTATTGGGAGTGTGTACCAAGGAGTCCAGCAGTGATTGGCATAATGAATTACTTATCCCCATTCCTATCACACTATATATCCACACCCACACATGGACCATGAAGCCCCAGAACAGTGTAAAAAATGCTATTGGATTCTCAGGGCTACAGTACCTGTGGAGATCATTTCTCTCCCTTCCAGAATGGGATCAAATGGGTGTGTAATGTTACAAATCCACTGGACCGTAATCCACTTCTATGTGGGAGTTCATAGCACAGTTCTAGGGCAGCAGATGCCTTTGTAAGGCCCCTGCATCTTTACTTTGTTCTCTCCTTTTATGTAATAGACCTGAAGTGTCTGTGCAACACTAAGGCCAATTACAGACATTACAATTTTACTGGTATAAATGATTGGAAACCAGTCTGTACCTGTAACAGAACAGAGGTTCAGCACACAGACTAGTTTAATAATAGTGGAACCCAGTCTAAGGTTTTCCCTACCCCACCAAGGGGCGAATGTGTGTTGTTTGCTACCGATCCAAACTATGCTGCTTACAGAAAACTATGTGACTTAGATCATTTCTGCCTTGGGCTTTTTTAATGTTTGTACCTAGCCCCAGGGTTTACTGGAGCCACAGGTTTGTGCCCACTATGTACAAAATCACAACAGCAAAAGGTTTTGGTAATTGATAGTTGTTAGAAACCAGTTCTTCTTACTTCAACCGCATGAGTTTGATATAAGATTATGCTCTCAGTGTAGAAGCATGTGCACACATATAAATGAATAGGGAGTATTGAATCATTTCAAAGATCATATAAACACAGTTACCTTATATAATATTATACATAAAATATTATGACACGAGTGGGGAAGGATATGTGAAAACAGAAAAAAGTGAGAATCCATGAAGATATGTGTCTCAAGATTTTCTTCTCATAGGGAAGACAGTATGTACTGAGATAAAGCTATGCCCAGTTCAGTTTAAGAAATGACCCCATTTTGTAAAGCCTGATATGTCAGTATCCTACCATCCCCAGTGATGTGTTTCAAATCACTGAGCTCACCTGTCCACTTGGAT